GCCTCACGCATGTTAAACACACAAAAACACACGCACCTTAAGTTTTAAAAACAACTCACATTAAATACACACTCACGCACATTAAGTACAAAACTCACGCACCTTAAGCACACGACTCACGCACATTAAGCACAAAACTCACGCACATTAAGCATAAAACTCATGTACTTTAAAATTTCAACAACTCACATTAAGTACACACTCACACACATTAAACACAAAACGCACGCACATTACGCACATTAAGTACAAAACTCACGCACTTTAAACATTACACACTCACGCACATTAAGCACAAATCTCACGTACATTAAGCACAAGACTCACACATATTAAGTAAAAAAACAAAACTCACGCACGTTAATCACCCTCACAACCGCACGGAAAACACTTAAATGCACATAAACCTGAACCTCTATACATATATATATATATATATATATATATATATATATATATATATATATATATCCTAATCCATTGATTCCCTTCTCTACTTGTGACAATTTCTAATTCCTAAAAATCTCAATTACAAGTACTATTATTAATTAAAAATTACAATTCCCAATTCAAAATCTCAAATTACAATTAAGCATCTTCAATCGGGACTTTCTGCTGATTAGCAATTACCATTATTTTTATTTTTTAAAATACAATTCCCAAATCTCAATTAGCATTTTTAAGAGAGATAAACGGTGCGATGATATTGATGGAAATAAATTGTATATTGAGCTCAAATTGTTTAGAGAGATTTTATCGAAAGAAAAGATATGAGTAGTGAGTATATTGAAATCATTGAAACAGATGGATTGTTTTCCAAATGTTACTATTGCATATCCAATATTATTGAATATTCCAATTAATGTTCTCTGTGTAGAAAGATGTTTTTCAAAGTTGAAATTGTTGAAATCTTACTTACGATCAAGTGTGTTTCAAGAGAGACTCAATGAAATAACTTTAATCTCCATTGAAAATGAGCATTTGGAAGGAGTTGATATCAAAAGTTTGGTAGATGATTTTTCGTCTAAATGTACCCGACACATACCACTTTTTAAATGAAATTTTATATGTATTTTTTATACAATATTTATATTTTGATACAACTTTTAGACAATTATTATTTTTACGTAGAAATTACTTTAAAAAGGTCCAAAATTAATACATTGCACAGGATCTAAATTTTTTATTGAAACGCCCTGATGAGTGAATGATATGCTAAGTAGTGATTTTAATATTGGAAAATAATATAAGTCTTTGTTACGTAGAACTAAAAGAGTTTTTGAATGCAAAAAAATTCTGAGGAATCTAGAATGTTGTATTGCATAATATTCTTTCCTCTATAATCTTAATCATTTTATGTGTTGTATTAATTACTTAACAAAAGTTAGCTCTATCAATATGCAATTTTTTTGTTGTATTAATTAATTTGCACTTAATAAAAAATTGATTTGGCGCTTGGCTTGGTAAGTACAAAGTTACAAGTTTGGCTCTTAATAGATCGAAAGTGATCGCTGATTTATTGGTTTTTTTAGTTTGAGCCGATCGACTATGAAAATTTTAGGCTGATTTATCTCCTCGTGATCCTTTGATTATGGAGTTTTTGTCTAAATAATTTTTACAACCTTGCAATTAAATCTAAACTCCTCATCTTACAACTTGTACCGAGCCTCTATTTATAATCTAAACTCCCTCATTTTAATTTTGCAGCACTCCTCTACGTATAGTAGCCCCATGAACACAATCCGTTTTGTCTTTGATGTTGCATCATAGTCCATAGACATAGGCTACCATACCCACATTTGACTATTCTTTTGCCGTAACTTTCTTAAATTTTTGGAATAAGAGTCAAATAGGTCACTCAACTGCACACTAAAGTGCAATTAGGCAATTAAATTTATTATTAAAATTTATTAAAAATGTCAATTTAATTGCCACGTAAGCAGGTAACCTACTAAAATTGACGGTAACTTGCTATAAGGTGAAATTATGTACATTTGGAGAGTTCAGTTGCCTAATTGTACTTTTTTTTCGTTCAGTGACTCAATTGCATTTTCAGGTTACGTTCATTGGCCAATATGAACCTTATTCCTATTATTATATATGTTATCAACTACTTTCTGATCAAGGAGACAACAACGTTAATGAACTGTGTCTTCTCTTTGGCCATGGAATCAGCAATGATCTCTCTGTACCTGTGAAACACATCCTCCATTATTCCTTCATCAAAATGGCTAACAAGCATGGGCTCAGCCACGGCTCTAATGCCCCTAGCAACATCATATCCACCATTATTAATCTTCTCATTATTATTACTGATATTGTCATTGTCGAATTCATATGCAGTCCAATGGATCTGGGAAACTTCCAAGTAGTTAATAGTGAAGGCACCATTCTTCTCGGCAATTTATATCCTACACCACGGCGTACATTGCACTATGCGCCCAGATGCAAAACAACGTCGTTTTAATTATTTTTTTTTTTTGAAATTTCCCGCCCCAGTGAATGGCAGTAGGCTTTTCTTTAAAAAAAAACCCGATGTTCAAGAATGTACATAATGTTATACTTGAATACACATAATGTTATACATGAATACACATAATGTTATAACAAAATATACATACTCTTTTTAAAAGATAATACACATAATCTAACATAATACATAATAAACATAAACTTTTAACATAATACACATCAACTCTTAACATAATACACACAAATTTTCTGATTCGGATGTACATAATTGTATAAAAACAATGTACATAATTGTATAAAAAATACACATAACTGTATGAACCAATACATATAACGTTGTGAACGAATACACATAACGTTGTGAACGAATACACATAATCTCAGCAACTTCCTACCGCGCCTCCCAACACGACCCCAAAACGACGTCGTTTTGGGAGGCGCGCGGCGCACAGTGCTATGTGCGCCGTGGTGTAGGATATAACGATTGATTCTTCTCAACCAGGACCTTTTCAGGACGTTTGGTTGAAGGGAATTTAAATTTCCTTTCCACTTAATTCCCACCTAATTTCAAAAGCCATAAAATTCTTTTGTTTGGTTGAAAGGAATTGCAATTCCCTCATTTTCATGGAATTAAAATCTCATGTTCCCCATGGAATTTTAATTCATGGGAAAAAAAATAGTGATGAGTCAAAATTACCTCTTCTTTTTTTAACCTAAAATTAATGTCTAACAACAATAATGGACATTTTTAACTTTATACTACTTATTCCCTTTTAATTCTCATGTATACCAAACATTGGAATTGAAATTCCCAGTAATTCTATTCCTGTAAACCAAACACTGGAATTTAAATTTCTACTTTAATTTATTCCCATTAATTCATCTCCCATAGAATTGCAATTCCTTTCCCAAGTAATTCCCCCTCTCCAACGTCCAAACGCCCTATTATTTGTCAGAGAAGGTGGGTAATTTGAAATGTTAAATGAATTTAGTTTCTCCTTTTCCACTAAACCCTGCAGGAAATATATAAAGCAACTTTTAGGTGTATATATATTGCTCATGGTCACAAGTAGACCAAAGGAACTCATGACATTTTTTATTTATTTTTTAATTTTTTAATACTTTTTGTAACTCTTTTCCCCTTTCTCTTAAAGAAATTTAAATATAATAATATTTAATTAATTTAATTTGTTTCTTTCAATCATGATAAAAGGTGAAAGATATTATTTTTTTAATCGTCACTTTAAAGAGTTTGAATTTGAATGTTATATTAGAATTATCCTAAAAATACATTGTCTTCTCTTACTTAAATCAAACATTAATTTTTGTAACACAAAGTTTAATTTTTTTATTCTAAAATTATATTATTTCACTTAGATTGTACATTTTATTACAAGTTGATCTATTATGTGTGGGATAAAAAATTTCTCTACTTTAAGTATTTAAATGCAACAATTTCATTATCTAATAAATCTTATAGAGAAAAATTAGCATTTCAAATTATTAATAAGAGTTTGCAAAAACAATAATTCACATTATTTAACGCCAAATGAAGTTTTAATCATATATACAATAAAAACCTATGAATTTGTATGCTATAACTTCATTGCAAAACTATTTAATTACTCTTTGACATCATCAGTAAATCTATTATAATCATGTCACTTTTAATATACAAAAAAAAAAAAAAGATTAAATTTTATCGACTCACCCATGGTTATCAAAGCCGCATTAAAAAAACTTATTTAATGTATTTTAATATAAAAGTAATTAGGACATGATTTTCATTTCGATCATAACTATCTAAATCAATATTCATTTTTACTATTATTTTATCAATCAATCTTTAATAATATCTTTCAGACTGCTATTGTTTTTTCATAATGTGATAGAAGGAATTGTACTATTGATGTCTTGGCAGGCTTACATTATTTGAAAGCACTATTGTAACAGAGTTCATAGTGCTTTCAAATAATTATAAACCATAATTTCTTTGATTTACATTATTGATTTCTTTGTGCCTTTGACAACCTCAAGTCCCAATATATATTTAAGAGAATCCCAACGTTGATTTGAAATGTTTTGTGTAAGTATTGTTTGATTTATTGAATATGTTACTTGTCTGGATTAGTAAGTACCACATCGTCCATGTACACTAGGAGACAAACAGAAGTTTTGCCAGATCCGAATCCTTAGTAAATAATAAATTATCTGTCACAATTTATTTGAAGATATAATACATCCCACACTCTTAACGAAACACACGCAAATCTATGATACATTTAGAATTAAATTAAAATACATTTAGATAATGTTGAATGCCTCTATATCTATCACTCACAAATATGTCACATCAAAAAGTGACAATTGTATGAGTAAGAGAGGGAGGGACACAAAGTATTTTCCATTACATTTTAATACATTTAGATAATGTTGGATGCCTCTATATCTACCACTCACAAATACGTCACTCCAAATGTCACATCAAAAAGTGACAATTTTGTAAGTAAGAGAGGGAGGGGCACAAAGTATTTTCCATCACATTTTAATAACGGAAACAGTAACATTAATGAATTGAGTGGTTTCCGGGCGAGTCGAGATGGAATCAATAATCATCTTTGTGTACTTGTGAAACACCTCATCAATGATTCCTTCACCGAAGTGGCTAACAAGCATGGGCTCAGCGACAGCTCTCATGCACCTAGCAACGTTGTAACCACCATTATCCTCGTGATCACCAGTTCCATTATATCCAGTCCAATGAATTTGGGAAGCCTCCAAGCAGTCAATAGTGAAGGAACCTTCCTTCTCAACTACCAATTTTGTTTCTGCTAAAGATGGTGTGTATAGAGGAACATTAAACGAATTTAGTTTCTCTTCTTCCACAAAACCCTGCATCAGATTAAACCAATTTTTAGCTATAATATATGTTTCTCTTCCAAGCAGACCAATCTATTATGTACAAAACATAATGTAATATTGTTTTAAAGTGTTGAGAATGTATGTAGTAACGCATTTTAAGGTTGTTTTGAGCATATAATTAACTACCACCTCTGCAACTATTTCATTGAGGGCTAAAGCTAGGAGTTCCCAAATATGGCAGGTAGGGTTTTCACTTGGTCTACCCAACATGGTCAAAATCATTCTCCCACCTTTCACTAATTCTGTAGAGCGGTACTTGAGAAAAGTAGAAAAATCTTGTTCAAATTGATCATAGTATGCATTTATCACAGTTGGTGGACTTGTGGTTGCCATGCAAATGTTGCCTTTGTTCTCTTCTATTCCTTTAGGTACCTGCGCGCAATCAAAACAAAATGTATGTTCAAATTAAAGCTACAACTAATTAATGATTTGAATTCAAAAGTAAGTATATATACTGGTACGTACTTGAGATAGCCAATGGAGACTATAAGAAGAATGAACAAAATGGAGGCTATCGGTGGGGAAGAGCCTTCCATAAAATGAACCAGGAACTCCATTGAAGAAACACAGCCCAGACCCGTCTCCTGCTATCTCCCTCCTATGTTTTGGCAACGACTGGAAAATGGTGTTGAAGTCGTTGGTGGGAAGGTCATTTAAGTAAATCTGGAACTCCGGAGAGTGTCGCCGCCGGAGCTTCTTCCGGTGGTTGTCGACGGCTTTGACGAGGTTGGAGACTGCCAGCAAAGTGTTGGGGCCAGAGGAACACCCCAAGTCTGCAATGGAGATGCTCTTTGGATTGCTGAGGCTGCTGTAGAGGCTTGTTATGGCTTCTTCTGTTATTGGCTTTGTCATAAGTATCACCTTTTGCTGCATTACCAAAAACCAAAATAAGTTGATAAAGCCATTTTGTATGTAATTGAATATCAGCTTATAGATAATTTACCAAACATTTTTCTACAAGCAGCTAATGGTGTGGATTACTTAAACTCACTAACTCAATCAGCTAACAGTTTTTTACCAAACACCTCTAAAAAAACATGTCTTTTTTACAATTATATTACAGTACAAGATTTATGACTTGCATGAAGGGATTAATGTTAATGAATACAATATATAATTAACCTGAAGAAAGGAGTTGTTGGCATAACTGGTGTCTCCATTTCCTCCATTCATGTGAAGCACTTCAGCTACCTTCATCTCTCCTCTCTATCACTCTCAACTTTTCAAGGTATATATATGTAGGAATTGATGATAAGTAAATGCCTTGATAGGATAGCTTGCTCAAATATGCTTCCTTTTTCTCCTTTTTATAGCCGCTGGCCTTGGATAGCCATATTTTTTTTTCTTTTGATAATGGATATATATATATATATATATATATATATATATATATATGTGTGTGTGTGTGTGTGTGTGTGTGTGTGTGTGTTCCGTTGGTAAAAACAAACAATAATCCAATAAAATAAGATTATTATTTTTCTGGAAAAGGGGAAAGAAAGATGAGGAGATTGGCTAGTGTTTGGTGTAGGGTTTTAGCAAGAGGATCACTCTTTCCTTAAAACCTTATTTGCTACCTCCCACAAAGTGCTAGGAGCGTTGTAGCCTAGGCTTCCTAGGATAAATATGCTACGATTCAGTATTTGAACACCCAAACAAAGAATCCGGCGAACCAGAGCAATGTTATGAACACAGTAGGCTTAAGAAAGAGTAGAAGCAGAGAGTTTTGAGGCAAAAAATGATACTTTCTTATTGTGTGTAAAATTCAATTGCCCAACTCTTTCTTATATAGGGGTTGAGGAGTTGAATAGCTTTTAATTTAGGCATTTAAGGACACCCCTACAACTTCTGTAATAGCAACCATTAACATGAATTTTAATTCAAAATTTAAAATTAAAATTAATTCAAAAAATTAATCCCGTAACAGCTGAATTAAATCCAAACAGGAGCTTCAGTTCGGCCATGACAAGGCCGAACTTTCGGCCCAAGGTGAAACTATTTCACCACCAAAGAAACAATATTAATATTGTTTTTAAACAATGTTGGTTCGGCCATGGTGAAACCATTTCACCAAATCAAAAAGAAACAACTATTTCACCACCAAAGAAACAATATTAATATTGTTTTTAAACAATGTTGGTTCGGCCATGGTGAAACCATTTCACCAAATCAAAAAGAAACAAATATAATATTGTTTAGTAGAATTGATTTGCACCCCTCCCTGCACGCAAGAGAGAGCCTCCATGCTATATAATTCAATAACCTTAAAAAGAGCTCTTGTATAAATAGTGGGACAAATCCTCTTCCCAAATCAATGTGAGACAAAAGATCACTTTTTCCGTTCATTTTCCAACTCAAATGGGTCTACTTTGAGAATCAATATCTCATTCACCCATTATCCGTTTTGAGCATACAATATATCAATCTCTTCGTCTCACTACGAAGAACCCGAATCCATTTTGATCCGACCCAAATCGAAAGTGAACCCCATTGATAATTGTACCACAAAATAACCACTTAACATGCCATTTTAAGCTATTTTTTCCAACAATATATATATATATATATATATATATATATATATTGTTAGAACTTAATCACTTATGGACGGTCATGACCTTCTCAATTTATGTTTCGAAAGATTATTAATGGTGAAACATTAATTGACAAGACTTTTACGTTTAGAGACATGACAATCTACCAATTAACAAGCTAAGGACTCCTACTCTTCAAAAAAAAAAAAGCTAAGGACTCCTAGGCCGGTAATTTCAATCCGTTCCGTTGATATCCACTCGAATTCATCATGCATGGATCATATTTGTTGTGTGAATATGTGATAGATCACTGGTGATGGATCTTGTGGGTCTTAAAAAAAAGTAAATTCGAGATGAGTTGGGTTGAATTTGAATTTTATATACAAAATTCGTCTAGAACTCTACCCCAACCCACCATGTATGTATGACTCTGTATGTGTGTGTGTGTGTGTGTATATATATATATATATATATATATATATATATATAGGGAGGGCTTCAAGTAAGAACTCATAATTAGGTAGGAACATGAGAACTAATCTAAGCCTTCAAATCCCATCTAATCAATGGTTCATATTAATTAATCACTAATAAGGAGACCATTAATATAAGAAATTACAAGGGATACAAGGGACATTTTACGCACCCAACATTTAATAATTAATATTGTAATCGGTTTGATCCCTAGAAAATAGCAAAAGAAGCCGATTCAGGAATATACTTCTTCCTCCAATCCCGCGAACAACACTGCGACATTCCGTGAACAACACAACTGCAACGGGGACATCTCCAACAAACGCCTGTGAATTCCTGCCGGAAGTGTGCAACCTGAAACAGCCAAAGCCGGGGATTAAGAGATCTTCGAACGATGGCAACAGAATACAATGACGGTAAGTTCTACATATGAATATGTAATCATGGTTGTGTTCGAATTTTCAATCGATAGAGACTGGTAATGGATTGTGTAAGCATGCACTCAAAAGCCAATGTAAATCCATTAGCAATGAGTGGATGCCCATGCGACGACAGTAATGATAATGCCCTCTCCCCCGATTGGGTTCGCTGCCCTAAAAGGCACCCACTTCGACGTTGTAGTGCACACACAGGCCTGGGCTTATGTGGCTGTGTGCACCCACAGTTATGGGGACGTGCACTTACCAACCCCAGTGGACCCGTATGAGCACAACCATCTCAGTGTAAGTGCACACACCTATTCACAAGGGTGAAGCATTGTTGGTACCTTTGCCATGTCGTAACAACCCTAGCCGTGATGGGTGCATGGGCACCTGTGGTGCGAGTACTCTACCAAACAGGGTGTTGAAACCCAGTCGGAGTGTGCACGTTGGTTATATTCTTTGTGCCACACTGTTGAACCACATATTGAACTAATAATTTTGTGTGCACGTTGGTTATATTCTCTGTGCCACACTGTTGAACCACATATTGAACTAACAATTTTGTAACCCCCGACAGGTGAGGTGGGCTTACTAGGGAGATACACCGGTTGTTCGATGAATATCTCTACCGGATCAACGAATTACTGGACTCCAGAGTGTGAAGAGGATAAAAAGTCATTCCTGGGACAGGTGTTCAGAACTCTAGAATGAGGAATTGAATTCTACAAAACTTATGCCACTACTACTGGGTTTGATGTGCAGCATACTTCCGAGAAGACGGATAGGCAAGGGAAAATCACGTCGAAGTATGTGTTGTGCTCACGTGCTGGGTTCAAACTCCCTACCGGCGAAGGGAACAGGGTAGGCGTGGCAACGGTCGAAGACAATGCCCCAACAAAAAGGCGACGTGTCACAAACCCGGCCTAGCAGAATGACCCCACGTGCTTTGACGGAGCACCTGACTCCAACAGTGTTTGTCATTCAGTGTTTCTACAATTCATTTTTTCACTCATTGTTTATTAGTCTATTTGTGTACGAATAATTTTCTACCAAATTGTTTTAATATAGTCATATACATGTTGGCATGAATTCGTTAAATCAAAATTGTCATAGGAATTGCTTTTGGGAGAAAAGATATTGTACTAGGCAGTGTGCACTTGGAATGAGCAGAGTGTGCAACACCTGTTGACTACAGCTCATTTTGGCAACAACGGCATCCACTATGACCCTGAAGTGCTTAGACCAACAGTGTGTGCCATCAAGAACTTTTCACCTACAGTTATATTTTCATTCTTTATTAGTCAATTTGAGTATGGATAATTGTCTTAAAACCCGTTTAAACAGAGTCATATACATGTCGGCCTAAATTCAATAAATCAGAACTGCTTTGGAAGTTGATTTTGGTAAAAATAGGTTGTACTGGCCAGAGTGCATATGTAATAAATATAGTGTGCCCGGCGTAATGAGTTCACGCCATTTTTCCCACAACGGCACCCCCTACGACGCTGAAGTGCACAGGCACCCAAAGAACAGACGACGGAAAAACATGCGTGATGCACCCAACCCATGCACTGCCATTGAGCACCTAACCCCAACACTGTGTGCCATCAAGAGTTCCTACACTATATTTTAATCCTCAAACGCTACAAGTCTATTCGAGCAACTGCAAATAACAGAGTGTGCCACAACATACAAACCACTCGATACAACAAAATCACCGAAATACTCCATAAACAGCCACTTAACTACCGACCAAAAAACAGACAATTGGGAAAGCACCTGAGACCAACAATGTGTGCCATCATGAACTTTTCACCTACAGTTATATTTTCATTCTTTATTAGTGAATTTGTGTATGGATAATTGTCTAAAAACCTGTTTAAACAGAGTCATATACATGCCGGCCTAAATTCACTAAATCAGAACTGCTTTGGAAGTTGATTTTGGAAAAAAAAATAGGTTGTACTGGCCAGTGTGCACATGTAATAAATAGAGTGTGCCAGGCGGAATGAGTTCACGACATTTTGCCCACAATGGCACCCCCTACGATGCTGAAGTGCACAGGCACCCAAAGAACAGACGACGGGAAAACATGCGTGCTGCACCAAACCCATGCACTGCCACTGAACACCTAACCCCAACACTGTGTGTCATCCAGAGCTTCGACACTACATTTTAATCCTCAAACGCTATTAGTATATTCGAGCAACTGCAAATAACAGAGTGTGCCACCGCATACAAACCACTCTAGTTAACAAAATCACCGAAATACTCCAAAAACAACCTCTTAAGTAACGACCAAAAAACAGAAAATTAGGAAAGCACCTGAGGCTAACAGTGTGTGCCATCATGAACTTTTCACCTACAATTATATTTTCATTCTTTATTAGTGCATTTGTGTATGGATAATTGTCTAAAAACCTGTTTAAACAGAGTCATATACATGCCGACCTAAATTCAATAAATCAGAACTAATTTGGAAGTTGATTTTGGAAAAAATAGGTTGTATTGGCCAGTGTGCACATGTAATAAATAGAGTGTGCCCGGCAGAATGAGTTCATGCCATTTTGCCCACAACAGCACCCCCTACAATGCTGAAGTGCACAGGCACCCAAAGAACAGACGACGGGAAAACATGTGTGACGCACCAAACCCATGCACTGCCACTGAGCACCTAACCCCACCACTGTGTGCCATCCGGAGCTCCTACACTACATTTTATTCCTCAAACGCTATTAGTCAATTCGAGCACCTGCAAATAACAGAGTGTGCCACATCATACAAACCACTCGATTAAACAAAATCACCGAAATACTCCATAAACAACCTCTTAAGTACCGGCCAAAAAACAGAAAATTGGGAAAGCACCTGAGACCAACAGTGTGTGCCATCATGAACTTTTCAACTACAGTTATATTTTCATTCTTTATTAGTCAATTTGTGTATGGATAATTGTCTAAAAACCTGTTTAAACAGAATCATATACATGCCGACCTAAATTCTATAAATCAGAACTGCTTTAGAAGTTGATTTTGGTAAAAATAGGTTGTACTGGCCAGTGTACACATGTAATAAATAGAATGTGCCCGGCGGAATGAGTTCATGCCATTTTGCCCACAACGGCACCCCCTACGATGCTGAAGTGCACAGGCACCCAAAGAACAGACGACGGGAAAACATGCGTGACGCACCAAACCCATGCACTGCCACTGAGCACCTAATCCCACCACTGTGTGCCACCCGGAGCTCCTATACTACATTTTATTCCTCAAACGCTATTAGTCTATTCGAGCACCTACAAATAACAGATAACAGAGTGTGCCACAGCATACAAACCACTCGATTCAACAAAATCACCGAAATACTCCATAAACAGCCTCTTAAGTACCGGCTAAAAAACATAAAATTGGGAAAGCACCTGAGACCAACTGTGTGTGCCATCATGAACTTTTCATTAAAAAAGTGGTGACCATTAACAATAAATTAGATCTCACATAAGCTGCTTCCTTTGTAGCTTACTAAATGATAGCCTCATGAGAATTGAGAACTGACCATTCATTCAACCTGCAGCCCTTGATACACGTTGATTATCAGCATATCGCATCAGGTAAGCGGTAAGCCTTGAAGACAACAGGCTGTTAATAAAAAGTGGTGAGGCTGCTGATGCACATCGTAGCTTACTAAAAAAATCGGTGTTCTATAGAAGAAAGTGATCAATCATATGTTGTATAACGTCTGCGCCTTCTGAATGTACACTTTGGACTTTGACCTGCAATTTATTTTGCTGGAAAATATGAAATTGTACATTTCGTTTGCAGTTTCCATTCCATTAAGAAAATGGCTATAGTTGAAGAGTATCAAGGGCAAAGAAGCAACACACAGACCTGGATAATACTATGAGCAGTGAATTTTATTCTGCTTGTATGGAAGTTGACATCTACTTTCTCCCATGGCACACGAGATAAAAATGTCACCAGTTCCTTTGCATCATATAGCCCAAATATAATACAGCCAAATAAAAAACAACACATTGTACGCATAAGAATCCGAAATCTATTTAAAAATAAAAAATTGAAAAAGCCGAAAACCGACCTGGAGCAGCGGCCGACGAGGTCGCCGGCCGTGGGCGCTTAGGGTTCCGAGCAACGGTGCCAGCCATCTCAACGGGAATTTCGATCGATGATGAAGACTATTGGAAGGACTCAAAAGCTACAACCTACGGTATTCTACTCCAGCACAACGAAGACTGCGAAAATTAAGAGATATAATCCCCCATCCGCACGCACGCTTGATTGAAGTGACCAAACTACCCCTTACACGCCCAAAGATTTAATTACAACGCTAAATACATAACTACAAAAAAATTTAAATATGCACCGTAGATGGATTCAAATAAATGGCCCAGATTGGTTCTCATGTTCCTACCTAACACTGAGTTCCTATATGATTTTTATTCTATATATATATATGTGTGTGTGTGTGTGTGGTGATTTTTAGGTGTAACCCTCCCTTAACATGCAAACTACTAAGTTTATAAAATAAAATAATAAAATAAGTATTAGTCTCTAGTTAATTATACAAATTTCTATAACTTTAGGTAACTTTTTACTATTTATTTTTATATTGAAACTACTAAGTTTATTTTTAAAAATTAACAATTCAGTTATTATACTTGAATAGCTTTTTTATTTTTGTTTTAGTATAACTAAAATGAATTTTATGATTTTATTATGGGTAAATAATTTAAATATTATTTTGTGCAAAAGTTAATAAGATGATAAGTGGTGAGTACCCGTAGTGGGCACTTGCTTCCGATGGAATGAGGGTGGGTAGAGAAAATATAAGGTGGGTTGGGTGATGGATGTAGCCCTCTCCCGAGCCACTTCTGATCCATTGCCATTTCTACGCAATCCGGCCGTGCTACGATTTCTTTTCTACTAAACACTATGCTTTTTATATAATAATAAAACAAATCTGTAATATTGAATAATGAAATTGTGAATGAAATCATTTTAGAGTTAAATCATTAAATCATTTTAATTTGACATTTAACATTAATTTCGTGATTTTTTTAGATGAAGCGAGCAAAGCGTTGCGAGTATGTCTTGAGTCAAATTTAAATTAATTCCTCAGTAAATTCGTTGTTGGCGGCTATTGGATGAGCATGAGGTAGCTTAGAATAGGCGGTGGAAATGATCGACTGAAATGATGGTTTTGATTGTGGACGCGGGAGTCTATCAGACACGATTAATTAATTTTGATCCAAAAAATAAATTTGTACATACTTTAAATTGAAGACAGAAAATCAATAAAAATAAAGAGTTTTATATTTTTTATGACTATCATATATATTAATGGGTGAGTGCTATGTAGTAATTTTAATCTTAATCATTTTATGTGTTGTATCTATGTGCAAATTATTTTTTTGTATCAATTAATTTTTCACTTAAGATTAGAGTAACAATCCTCAAGGTATATATACACGTGTAGTCTGTGTAGAGATGTTAATTGTAACTCAATTTTATAAATATTCAACCAAATTCGACCAACATGATATTGTGGGCTTCTGGCCCATCCTAAAAAAAAAAAAAGATTGCATTACAATTTTGAGAGTATCTAGCAAATCAAGGTCCACACACTTATATGAACCATAGTTTAAAACAACATCGTAAAATTTTATAATTTAAAATAATGTACACTATAAATTAGAATAATGTATTTTATAGATGTATTAAAATGCATAATGTGTTAGAATAATGAAATTTTTAGAAATGTTAACTTAATTTTCCAATCCATTCATCTTCTTCAATGGATAACTACAACACAACAATCTCCTCCATCGCTGTCATTATCGCCATTGTTGCTGCCACCTCTACAAATTTGAGAAAAGGCAACACAACGCTGCCTCCTCATATCTATGAGGTTTGTTTGAATATTTAACTAGTCTAGTTCTTTTGGACTATGAATGGGTAATTAAAATTTGATAATTGAAAGAATATGTGTGATTTACTTACACCATGAATAATAATAATAATTTCAAAGTCAAATGATGGGTCAATTTGAAAGCTTATGACTGCATATGATATTAGCTCATAATCAAAATATATATAGAACTCCATATATTAATATCGCAATTAGGGTCACCTCCTAACCACAATAATAAAACTTTGTTGAATTGTCCATGTAAGAAAACTTCAATTGTAACAATCCCTTTAAATAGCAATTTGGAGATCGACTTGGACTTACGATTCAAAGATGGCGGCCTTGTTTGGTAAAAATTGGCATATACGCTAATTTTGATTTATTTGATCACTATTAATTGTTTGATTCGATTAAGAAATCAATATAAGTGTTTGTAACTTCAAAAAGCTACTCCAAGCAACTTTTTCAATTAGCTTTTTCAGAAAAGAAATTATACCAAATAGCTATCAGCTAACAACTAATTTACCAAACACTTTTTAAAAACAGCTAATGTTATCAACTATTTATATCATCAAATTAATACAATCAGCTAACAGCTAACCGCCATTTACCAAACAGGACCGACATGTTCACACGTCCAATTTGAGGATTTAAGGATGGTTACATGAAAGGCAAGTGATGAGATAAGCTAGTTCATTGAATCAATTTAAACCATCATATATATATATATATATATATATATATTTCATTTACCATGTTATCTTAGCTCATCACTTCAACTTGATAGATATCGATCACCTCCACGATCCTATACTAGTTTCTTGATCGAATCCAAGGTATCAATTTCTTCAATCCAATATAAATTAAATATAATTAATTAATAACATTTTTATCAGTTTGCTAAAAGTAGAATATAATGTAATGGAAATATAATTAATTAATAACATTTTTTATCAGTTTGCTAAAAGTAGAATATAATGTAATGGAAATATAATTAATTAATAACATTTTTTATCAGTTTGCTAAAAGTAGAATATAATGTAATGGCTGGCATGGCCTGCAGGTATACATAAACATTATTTAGCATTATTACACATGTTTTAGACACCATTTAGACATAATAAAACACAATCCACGTGCCATGGAAACAATCCACGTGCCATGGAAACCCAATTCAAAACACATATATCCATATATATAATAATATATTAAGCTGAAACACTATGAAGAACAACGGTCTCAACGGTCAAGCCAGGCCCAAATCCAAACAGCACTCCCCACTCAAGCCCTTCACCTGTGGTGTTAAGCCCTTCCTTTGAGGACGCCTTCCTCATTTCATCCAAAATGAACAACACACATGCACTAGACATGTTCCCATATTCACTCAACACGTGCCTTGTCGCACGAAGTTTCTCCGGCTTGAGCTCTAGCTTTTCTTCCACTTGGTCAAGAATGGCCGGCCCGCCGGGATGAGCGATCCAGAAAAGGGAGTTCCAATCATGAATACCCAGAGGTTGAAACGCCTCGTTTAAGCTTTTCTCAATGTGCTTTGATATGAGCCCAGGAACGTCTTTGAGTAAATGGAAGGTTAGCCCAACTTCCCGGAGGTGCCCATCAATGGCGCCGCCGCTATCCGGGAGGATAGTTTGGGCGGCGGAGACAAGCTGGAATAATGGCCTTTCGAGGTCTGGGTCTGGGTCTGAGCCTATGATCAGCGCGGCGGCCCCGTCCCCGAAAAGGGCCTGTCCCACGAGGCTGTCCAAGTGGGCATCACTGGGGCCACGGAATGTGACCGCGGTGATCTCTGAGCAAACCACCAACACGCGGGCGCCTTTGTTGTTCTCCGCCAGATCCTTGGCTAGGCGGATAACCGTGCCGCCGGCGAAGCAGCCTTGTTGGTACATCATAAACCTCTTCACGGATGGTTGGAGGCCGAGAAGCTTTGTGAGCTGGTAATCTGCGCCGGGCATATCTACACCGCTAGTGGTACAAAACACCAAATGGGTGATCTTAGACTTGGGCTGCCCCCATTCCTTGATAGCCTTCTGGGCTGCTTCTTTCCCAAGTTTTGGTACTTCCACAACCACGATATCTTGCCTGGCATCCAAGGAAGGTGCCATGTATGCACAAATGTTGGGATTTTCTTTCAAGATTTCCTCGGTTAAGTACATATACCGCTTCTTGATCATTGATTTTTCACCTGTATATAGTCAACATTACCCAAATTAGTATAAACACCTCATGCTCATGGAGATCAAATCAACAAACTATTACTAGCTACCAAATGGTGTGTACCGGATAAACCCCGATCCTAACAGCAAAGGACCAAAAGAGGTAAACCAGGTTTTCTACGGCCAATAGACAGCTCCCATTGGACTCAATTTAGGTGGGATTGCCCTCACCACTTGTTTCTTTTAGATTGTATATCATTATCCTAATTGACTAGAAATATATATACACATTCATAACAAGAAAAGTGACATGTTCTCATAAAGAGAAGAAGAGATCAAGAAACTAGAAAAGGGAAAAAAAAAACATATAATTTTACGTACACATGCGTTTGAACTTTTCTTTAAGTTCAACCAGGTGCTCGCTATTGGTGATACGAAAATAATAATCTGGATAGGTGCTCTGATCAACGCAATTCTGGGGAGTAGAGGTTCCAATAGCCATGATGGTGGCCGGACCCTGGGCACGTTGCGCCTTCCGTACCTCCTCGACAGTCACCATTTTGTAGCAGGGAAGGATATCACAGGCCGACCAGAGAACAAATTGTAATTACTTAATTGTTTGAAGAGTACGTAGAATGTGTAGCGGCTAATAAGTGATATTTATAGTCGTAAATCCAAAGTACAGAGAGCTGGGCGGCACGCCGGCACGTGACTTCTTTCCACTGTTAGTTTGGTTACATACTCTGATCTGGCAAATTTCCCACGCTACATTCATTTTCTTACCTAATTTTCTAATTAGATTTCCCAATTACCTCATTAGTCATTTATATGAAACGTTAACTCATTATAAGCCAATAAAATAAAATTACGTCAAAGTATTAAAACAAATCTAATACTTTTGATAGTGAATATATTTGTGTTGGTGTCGTAAATCTAAAATATAAAAAGAAATAATAATGTGTGATATTAATTATTTACTAGTTATATTATATTAATTATAAGATTGCCAAACACCTTGTACTCAGATGACATGTAGTGACCTCTTTCATGTGGGAGGTCATGAGATCTGCCCTGCAGATATTCACCCGAATCTACCTCACATGGATCAAACTTTTTTACGTGATAGTGTGTGTACGTGGTAGGTGTCTTAAAAACTTAAATTCGGAGTGGGTTGGATTGGATTCAAATTTTATGTACAAAATTCGCCTAAAACCCCACCCGACCTACCATATATATATATATATATATATATATATATATATATATATATATAGTAAAATAAGTACTAGTATGTAGTTAATTATAAAAGTTTATAACACTTCTTCTAACCTTTTATTATTTTTAATTATAACCTAACAAGTTTATTTTTAAAAAATTAACAATTTAGTTATTATATTTGGATATTTTTATTATTTTATATTTTAATATAACTAGTGAATTTTATTTTATTATTATGTATAAGTAATTTAAATATTATGTTAAATTCTTTGTAATAATAAGATAATAAGTGGTGGATATTCGTACTAAGCACTTGCACCCAGTGAGGCGGGGGTGAGTTTTGAAAAAGCCCATCCGATATAAATTCGGGATGGAAGTGGATGGAGAAAATATAAGATTGGTCGGGGTGATGGATGTAGCCCTCCCCGATCCACCCGACCCATTGACATCCCTAATCATACTTGATTGTATTAGGGCTACCGACAAGGTATATATAATTTGACCCTGGCAATTTTAGTAAATATTTAAATATCACATGGGATATATGTGTGTGTGTGTGTTATGCAAGTGCTAAATTAGTGATAACATGTTGAATAAATTGATGTAGGATTCAATTGATTTTTTTGTTGATTTAAAGAAGTTAAATGTGCCAAGCTCTTTGTGCACAAATGGCACCTAAGTTGGACTTCCATTTTTAAGTCTATGTGCTTCAGTAGGTTGAAGAAGTAGTTGTGAATAGATCTTTAAATGTGCTAAGCACTTTGTGCACAGATGACACTCAGATTAGACTTCCATCTCTTTGTGCTTCAGTAGGTTGAGGAAGTAGTTGTGAACATATACTATATTGTAATAGAGTAAGTAGCATTAAAAAAAAAAGTTAAATGTATTATTTTATTGACTTAAAATCACTAAATTGATACTTCTTAATTTGTTGAGATATCTTCAATAATTTAAAAAAAAAAAAAAATGTTGAGATGATCGAGATCTTGGTTGCCAGGAAGGAGATCAGACACACGTGAACAGAGAATATAATTTTTGTTGGCTTTTGTCACCATGAAATTTGAATATAATTAGAATACTTGAATTCAAAGATGCAGAAAAGTAGTAAAAAATGATTTTCATTGTGCGATGCACGAAATGAATTTGTTGTAATATATTAAGAATATTTGTATCGATATATAATTATTTAAATTAGAATATCAAATATTATATAATGCAATTAAAGATATGGTTTGGATTATTTATGTGCTTTAATGTTATCATTGTTTGAATTTGAGCAAAATAATTGTTCAAATTAATAGTTAATGTGTATAGGTAAGCATGCGGAGATGTAACTTTAAAGATTGTACTTATCATTGTTTAATATTTTTTTTTAAATTAGACAAACGTACTCGTTCTATAGCAACTTAGTTATAGGAATGAATTACTATATTAATTCATTTGTATGGAAGATATATTTTTTGTCTAGATATATAGCAATTTCGTCATTTAAAAAAAAAAACATAATATCAACGATTCTATTTACACATTATGAAATCTCTTTGTAGACGATATTGGTAGTAGCAACACAATCTTGTCCATCATCGTCTAGACCTAACACCTTCCGTCTATCAGGATGGTGACTCGGGTGAAAATATATAATGGTAGAGTATTTGTCAATTAGCGATCCTTTTATATTTTAAGTCAATTAGTAATATCAAATTCATTTTCTCCCAATTATTTTTTTCTTATTTTTAGTCAATTAGTCCATTAGAATATCATATGCAGTGATATTTTTACCTAATTTTCATTCCATTTTTAATTGATAATGTATAATATTATTATTGAAATATTTTCGTTCCATTTTTAATTTACCTTTACTATTGTTTAAAAAATACATTTACTATTTTTTTTTTGAATGCTACTAGCTCTATTAGATTGTAGTATCTGTTCATATACTTTCTCAAACTACTGAAACACAAAGAGCTAATAACGCCTCAACTGAGGCTCGAACTTACAACCTTCCAAATGGAAGTCCAACCCGGGTACCATTGGACCACATAGTCCTGGTAAATACATTTACTATTTAAGATGTAGAATATTATTATTGAAATATTTTCGTACAATTTTAGTTTCCGTTCCATTTTTAATTAAAATTCAATGATCTAACCATTTATTTTTTCATATTAGTCAATTATGGATCATGTTTTATTTGCAGTCAACTATTAATATTCATTTCTTTTTATATTTTCAGTCAATTAGTAATATCATATTCATTTTTAGCCAATTATTTAAATATTTCATTTTCATTTTTAATTTACCTTTACTTGATGATATAAAATATTATTATTGAAATATTTCCGTTTCATTGTTTAAAATTGTAAAAGATTTATGACATAATTGTGATTTGATGTATTATATTGTGTAATATTATTGTGAAAAATAAAAATGCAATGATCTGACCATTTTCTTTTCCATTTTAGTCAATTATGAATCATTTTTTTTCATTCAATTATTAATATTCATTTCTTTTCCAATTAATTATTTTATTTTTAATTTTTAGTCAATTATTAATATTCATTTCTTTTTCCGATTTACCTAATTTTCATTCCATTTTTAATTCATGATGTGAAATATTATTGTGAAATATTTCTGTTCATTTTTTTTTAAATTACCATTCATTTTTTAATTTACCTTTACTATTTACTATTTGGGCGGGAAATCAAGTAAATAGGATTTTTGTTCTTAATTATAGTATAGATTTTTTAACTCCTCCCGTCCCATTTTATTTGTCCACTTACTATCCATTGGTCAAACCAACTCTTTATTCTTTGTTTATTTTCTTTAATATTTTTACTTATTTTTAAATTTGATTTTTTGTGTTCAATAGTACTTTTAGTGTAGTTTCTAAATATATAAAATTTGCATACTATACTAAACTTAATATTATAAAAAAAATTAGATTAAAAATAACTTCAGTGTAGTTTCAAAATATATAAAATTTGCATACTATACTAAACTTAATATTATAAAAAAAATTAGATTAAAAATAACTTCAGTCAAGTCTCGTTAACCGAACCAGACACATAAAATGGGATGGAATGAGTATTATTGTTGTTCTTTTTTTTTTGGTGTAAATCATATTGTGGTCCGGGTCTTTCTCTATCCGTTTAACGGTCCAAGTCTACCCGGTTCGCTCCGAGAGGCACAAAATTGAAGCTAGCCCAAAGAGAATCGTATCGAACCTAGATTATCCCGAAATTCTCCCCCACAAAGAGAGCTCATTTGCCACTTAAGCTACCCTATTGTGTTTGTATTATTGTTGTTCTAGTTGTTCTTCACTAATTTTATTAATATAATAATTCCTATTAATATAATGTTCTCCTAATTCTAACTCTACAATAACTCCTACAATTAATTATCCTCATTTTTATGGGCATGTCGCTCTCCACCGGCCTTCAAAATATGTTCTCAAGATGTAGGCACAAAAATTAGCATAACTACGACTCAATGATACTGTTTGGTTGGGTTGCCATATGTTGACATAGTATAGACAACTCATGTAATGGTTTGCGTTGCAACAATTTCTTCTACCGTGTGATGCCATGTGTCTTGAAGCATTTTGTGTACCACTTTTAATGGTGTAAAAAAATATAATGATTCTTAAAACAATCGAAGATTGAACAAGTTTAAACTTTTATCCATGCATGATTGCTCAAAATTATTATTGAAAACTGCTACAAACTTGGCAGTTTTTACTGGCTCATCAACAACTAGCAAAATATCAAGATTTAAGAGCTCTTCTATAATTGATGGAGTACTAAGAACATTTTAATGTTTTACTAATTCTATTAATTAATATAATAATTCTTACTATAAAGTTCATCTAATTTTAATTATACATACAATAACTCTCATGATTAATTATTCATATTTCTATGGGCCAATCAAAATTTCAGTGACGAAAGTGATTGATTGGTTGTCCCAATAGTCAACCATAAAACAACAAAATTCTTCCATACTGTTTTTTTTTTTTTTAACGTACGACATCTGCAATCCTCACTACTGGGTGATCAATCTAGATTTGAACCATGACATGCCCATAAATTAAAGTTTGATTCACGAAATTAATGTTAAAATGGCAAATTAAAATGATTCAATGGTTTAACTCTGAAATGATTGCATTCACAATTTTACTATAGTGCTTAGTACAAAAGAAATTGTGGGCACAGGACAACCAGAGTTGTGGTCCTTAATGCCCGCATGGGTTTAGCTCACTGGTTTAGTTCACAGTATTTGAGAGAAGAGATCAAGATTTGAACATTCCTTAGCTTGTACGCACCGATATTTGCATCTGTCTGCTAAACTATTAAGTCACCCGAGGTTGAGGATTCAATCTTTTGGGAGAAGAGTTGTGGTCCTTAGCTTGGTGGATGGTCATGTATCTA